AACCAAAATGTCGAGAATGAATTTAAACAAAAGCACCCGCGCTCGTCCACGGCAAAATACTTCTCAAAGAGAACACGCGACGCAGCTTGCCCCTCCTTCAACCGCTTCTCCGAAAGAGGAATCCGCTTTTCCTCTGCTTGAGAAAAGTTCAGCGTTCCACTGGGTGACACGCAAAAGAGAACCTGAATTCAATTCATTTTCTCCGTTCACAGCAGAAGAAGCTGCCATTTATGAATTCTTAGCGCAAGAGATGTCGCTACACGTCGGCGCGTGCGGCTGTTGGGAGGGATGCGGGGTGCACTTTTGTCCGTTTTTTTTCGAGCATGGAGTGGCGGTGTATGTCCCTAAATGCGGAATACCAAGAGCAAGGCTGTTTTTTTTTATTCTTGTCTGTTCCACGATGTTGGATTGCCTTTTTAAACTCAGTTTTGTCGTTTTTTGTTTTTGCTTCGGTTTTGGTCTCTTATGGAATTTTTTTTGTTTTCCTTATCGTTGCCTGTATTTTTTTTGTTTTTAATCTTTCTCTTTTATCATGGTGAAATAAAAGGAAAGCACTAACCCATCAAGGAGAGGCAACACATAAATTGCAAAAAAAAAAGAGGGATTGATAAAGAGAGAGAGAGAAAAAAAGGAAACAAGATGAGGCGTGCACCAAATTCTGACGATTCTCATCGGGATTTTGTGAGTGCTTACTCGGGACCCTTGTTTGCCACTACCTTTGATTTTGGCGTTCTTTGGAATAAGGTGGAGAACGTATGCAAAAAAATTCTTGGTTGGACAGACTCACCGGAGTTTGTGGGGCAGACGGCCATTCAACAGGTAGTTCGTGCGTATACAGTTGTATATAGGTTGGTTTCAGTTCCTTGTTTGGACTGTCCCAAGTTGGTTCGTGGAACAAATTCTCAACAGGACCCCATTGAGGGCAGGAGTGAGGGGAGACAGGCACTTGTTGTGTATTACCTATTACGTGAAACAATACGCAAACGATTATCATCAGTAGTTACCCATCGACTCAAGCTTTCGCTAAAAGCTGAACCACCAACTTTGCTGCATGTATACTTGAGTGAATGGAAAACCTTTCTTGTCGCAGTAAATCACCTAAAGGTGGTATTTTCCTATCTTCACAGCCCTTGGCAAAAACGCGAGTTGCCTTCAGATCAACCCCTTTTACCAACAGAGGTTGTGGCGCTGGTTCAGTGGAGTGATATAATAATGTCTCCGGAAATATGTGGGAGTTTAACGGAGCAAATATTTAGTCTTATTTCACAAGACAGGCTTCACCGATTGGACGAGGAATCTACCCGCCTTGTACGAGATCTTTCACATTCCTTAGCAATGTTGAATGATCCACGACACACAGCATATTCTTCCTTGATTGAAGAATCTTACCTTGTGCATCTACAACGTTTTTACAAGGAGAACATTAATCTTTTAAAGACCGGTGGTATTTTGTCTTATATAGAACGATCTCTCCTTATCTTTGAGGATGAAACGGAACGTGTCAATCGACTTTTAAACAAGTGCACGATGCTTTCTATGCTACAACGTTTGGCTGAGGTTCTTATTGACTCAGAAATTCAGTACTTTAAGTCGTACTTAAGTGAATGGATACTCAACAACAACGGTTATCTTTTGAACAAAATGTATCAATTACTTTCGAAGAATTCAACAGGTGTTTTGTTACTTAAGGAAACCTTTGAGAAATCCGTATTTGAAAAAGGATTAGATGATGTTAGCAAAAAATGTGAGGAAAGCATGAGGTCGAACGAGAATCTTTACAGTTCTGTTATTGAGGAGATTATATCTGTACATAGACATTTTGAAAAGGTAAATGAATCTTTTGAGGGTAATGGAGTTCTTGAAACGGCGATGCTTGCTGGACTTGAGAAAATTTTGAGAGCTCTTCCTTATCTCAGGAGTTACCATGTTTTGGGAGAAGAATTGGCACGCTTTGTCCACACAAAACTGAAATCCATCGAATCCAGAAAAGATTGTGAAGCTCTCGTGAAGGAGGTTGTAACTGTGTTTCAGCTTCTGCCGTCGAAGAGTTCTTTTCTGGAATCATATCCGAAATATTTATCTGCTAGGCTTTTATTTGATGCTTATTCTGATGAGTACGAACTTCTTGCTATTTTGATAATATCTCAAGCCAGCGATTGTACTTCTGAGTTTGTGTACAGATGCGAGGTGATGCTGACGGATGTTACGGAGAGTAGTGCCTCACTGCGAGACACGTTTGACGCAAAGTACGGAAATACTCATAGTACATCTACAACGTGGTCGTTTCAACCCAGTGTTCTCACAAGTTATTCATGGCCAGATGCTTCTTGTGACGTACAGCTTCCAACACCAAGAATTTTGTTGCCTAAGCTGGAGGAATTTCAATTATTTTATTCGCAAGTCCGTCCAAAGCGGCATATTACTTTTGTTCCGCGATACTCCCGTGGTTGGGTAAAGATGAACTTGCCTAGGGGTTCGCGTATACCGAGTATAGATTTATGCGTTGGACAGTCCCAACTACTACTTACAGAATGCTTCAATAGTCAGACAGAATGGCCAATGCTAAACCTGTTACAGGCAATGGGCGTGACGAACAATGAATTATTTTTATCTTCTCTGAATGCTTTTGCTGGTTATGGTATTCTTGAATGCTATAATGAAAATGGACCAATTGGCCTCCCTCTGAAATCAGTCATGGCAGGACAGTTTGTTCGCCTTGGTTCGAATCCAGATGTACGAAAAAGGAAGTTGAATCTTTTTCCTTCTGAATGGGAGGGAAGTTTTCAGGCTACTGCAGTATCTAGTAATGATTTAGCTAATGATCCTGTGGATGCTTCTCATCATATGGTAGATCAGTTGAAAGCTCCCGCAGTGCAAGCAACACTTGCCCGTGTGTTTAAGGCCAATCTTGCTCTTTCGTTTTCTGGCCTTATGGAGAAGGTTAAGGAAGAATCTATGCAAAAATTTGTGCCTTCTGTTCAACAAGTAAAGGCGGCGTTGGAGTTTCTTATAAGCCGTGGTTTCGTAATAAGGGATGGTTCGGAAGCGGGGCTCTTTTTGTACGTGTACTGATTTTTTCCCCCCTTTTTTGTTCGAGGATTTCTACTTTTTCCGATTTGCTTGCGTTATGCAATTTTTCTTTATTTATTGAAGGGCCTTGTATTAATTGTATTTCACTCAGATTCATTGCGAGCCTATCTTCAGAGGAAAACACATCGAGAGAAAAAAAATAATGAATAAGGCATGCAGTGCATTTAAAAAAGAAAAAAAGGAAAAAAAAACCGCGAACAAAAGTTTCATGTGAATGTAAAATTGAATACTTGAAACTCTGTTTGGAGCACAAGGTAAGTGACAGAGTGTGGACTAGGACAAGTTATTTCTGTGGCAGACCTTTTTTTTTTCTTTAATCACGGGCTCTCTTCATGGCTTAGCTGCAGTAGCGGTACCCCATACTGTAAGCGCGAAAAAGAAGGAACGATGGGCGAAGGGCTTGGGGGAACATTTTGCCAAGCTGGGCGACGAAGCACATGAGGTACACAACTGAGAATATTGGGAAAATGTCATGTTTGTAAGGTCACACTCAAGTAACTTCAATTTCTCTGCTTTGGTGCACATAGTTCTTTTTTTTTATCATATTGTTATTTCAGAATTTTTTTTGTCTCTGTACGATATTGCGTTGATTGCTTCCCGCCTTTGTGTATTTATTTGCGTTGAACCTTTTCTTTAGTGAATATTTGTTTTTTTTTTCCACTTTTATCTCTCTCAGAAAAGTATAATGCCGGAAATTGTTTGGGTAATCTGATGACCCGCATATGAAGCAAAATAGGTAGCAGGAACGGTGTTGCACAAAAAGGTATACATAATGGAACTCCCCCCCCCCCCGAGTTACTTCTTGCAGTTCAGTCGATCAGTGCTGGAGTAATTATCCTACAATTGTTATTGCCCAATTTCGATAGTTTTGGGCCATATTTGGGCTGCTCAAAATGTGGGGCCTCGAACATCCTCCCTAATACTTTCGTTGAGAGATATATTTAGGCGTTTTGGAATGGAATTGTTTGTGCTACACGAGGAGCTATTGCCTTGCATACTTGCGGCGTTAGGCCAAAAATGGTTGAGGTGATGCGCTTGGACACGGAGATACATGCTTTTCATTCAGTTAATATGGATTCTCCTACTACAACTCGCAAGTTTTCCTTTACTCATTTGCGTGTAGCTCTTTACGTCCCCTTGCTTGCTCCACCTCGCGGCGAAGAGTCGAGTAGAGTTGAAGACATCTTTTCCAGAATAAAAAATTGGGGAAAATGCATCCCTACCGCAATTTTTCTTTCCCCCTTTTCCTTTACACAGGGGCTGTTTTATGCTTTTATTTTGAGTTCAAAGTTCTTATTAGAAAAGTCTCCAATATATAGCATTCCTACTTTTTTTTCTTTACTTCTTCCTGTTTTTTTATTCCTTTGAGATTGGTTATATTGGGCTGGTGCTTGAATGCTTTGCGTGGCAGTTGCTTTTTAATTGTAAAGCAAAGACAAAAAAAAACGATATAATTTTCCACAAATCATATCAAACGGCGTAATTTCTTTTTGTTTTAACCTTTTGTTTTGTTTTGTTTTAACCCTCATAGTAATAGGTTAGGCCGGGGAAACTACACCAAAACAATAGTACGCCGGGTACGTTAAAAGGCAGCCATGACGCAGCTTCCTTCTGCGACGATGAAGCTCGTAGAGATGTCAAAAGACATGGAGAACTATGCCATTCATTGTGCGCAGGATGGATTCTCAAAGTTTTATACCGAAAAAGAAGTTGCATCATACATTAAGAAGGAGTTTGATAAGAAATATGGCCCTACATGGAATTGTTTCGTTGGCCGCAATTTCGGTAGCTATGTTACCCATGAGACAAATAACTACATTTACTTTTACATGGGACAAATGGGAGTACTCTTGTTCAAGTCATCGTAGACACCTAGATTATTGCGTCGTCTACCAAAAACTCTGCCTCTTTGGGATATGTATCTGTTCCCGATGATTATGATGATCTTGTTGTTGCTGCTAGTGGTTTCTCTGGAGAGGGAGTTATGAGGGTTATACGTGCGCTGGGGTGCATTTGCTTTCCCATTTTTCCTCTCTTATTTCTTGTCTCTGGAGTCGTCGTGGCTGACCATATTGAGAGCTGAGTACGATCCCAGCGGAATGTATATGTAGGCTATAAAATGATCGCCAAATACATGCCTTTTACTCTGCTGACAATAATGTCTTGATGTTTTTGCAGTAGTTAGTGTTTGAATTGGGTATTCCCTGCTGTTTTTATTTATTGGCGTTTCTTTTTTTTTTCTTTTGTGTGTCTCTGTTAAGAGTATAGTGTAGGATGTAGTGGTAAACCGACAAGACAAACTTATACTACAATTGAAAATGCGTAGTAAAGTCAGGTAGAATGCTGACAGGGTTATGCCCAAGGAAACTTTTCAGAGAGAAAGCGTCCAACGACCAAGACCAGAGAAACAGGCAAACTCACCCTTTCGCTTTTTCTAGCCCTTTACATGGTGAGGATGCGGAGACAGAAGCACACACTATTACAATAATAAAAATCTCTGGATACCGTGGCTCAGCGGCCCGACATTTTTTGTATGAAGAGCTACTGCTTCATTACTTACTCCACATTTCACCTATGGATTATTTTTTTTCCACCAAAAAGGAAAATCTGGGCCAAAGCGGACTAGCGAGCTTTCTGGATGGCATGATTCTCTAGAACCTCGGCACTCGTTGTCTGACACCTCAACTGGGCGTTTTTTTTTATTATTATTCTTTTTTGCTCGTTTCAGCGGATGCGTTTTCCCCAACCCTGTGCGGTTGTGTGATTTCAAATTCACACATACACACAAGACGAGGGGGAAAAAAAAACGATTGAAAGTTTTCGTTTTATGCACTCTGGTTTATTTGTTTAACACGTTGGGCCTTAAAAACGCTGACGATGAGGAGCGGGGGTGGTGTTGGGAGATTTGACTTCTATTATCCACCTCTGTTTTTCCACCGAAAGGAAGATTGAGTTGGGGGGCGGGGGTGGAATAGCTTTTGGAGATGAACGAGTTTTACCGAGCGGTGCAAAAGTCCACCATAGAGTGGTTTTACCTCCATCACAAACGAGACCTGCCGTGGCGACAGTCTTTTCCCCCCGCCGATGAATTGGAAAGAAACACGGGAGCTACTGCTAGATTGCGCAATCCCTACCATGTCTGGGTGTGCGAGGTTATGTCGCAGCAGACGCAGATAGGCACCATTATTTCCTACTTTGAAAGATGGATCTCACTCTTCCCCACTGTGGCCGCTTTAGCGGAGGCCACTGAGGACTCTGTCAAGGCGGCTTGGGCGGGGCTTGGTTATTATCGTCGTGCGTTGTATTTAAAAAGGGGTGCCGAATACGTTATGCGACACTTTGGCGGAAAACTGCCCGCCAAAGCAGTTGAATTGCAGCAAATACCGGGTATTGGCCCTTACACGGCTGCGGCGGTTTCATCTATCTGCTTTGGAGAAAACATAGCGGCGGTGGATGGAAACGTTGTGCGCGTGATAACCAGGCTGCGCTGTGAGCGAGACGTCGACCCCAAGGCGACAAAGACGATGAGGGCAGTGACGCAGTGGACGCAAGAATTGATGAATGAAGGGCCTTGTGAAGATCCCGGCGCCTTTAATGAGGGTTTGATGGAGATTGGTTCAGGTGTGTGTAAACCATCTGGACGGCCTCTTTGTGAAGAGTGCCCCCTACAGCAATTTTGCAAGTCGTATGCTGCAAAGGCAGGTGGTGAGATGGAGACTATTGAGGGCATTGTTCCATTAAGGTCTGTTGCACCCAAAAAGAAGAAGCAAATCGTTGTTTCTGTAATACATGAATTTCGTTACGGTGACATCAAGGAGGGTATGATGCTGAGGCGTTTTGTTGTGGTTCAAAGGCCCGAAGAAGGGTTATTGGGTGGTATGTTAGAGTTCCCCTCTATAACGTATAGCTTATCCCATGAAATTGTCTCGGTCGAGGAGGAGGTTGTTCTAAATATGCGTGAACGATTAGCTGCTAAACATGGAGCTGTGCGATACGTGGGCAATGTTCGGCACATATTTTCACATATAGACATGGAGGTGCTCATTTACTACGCGCTATGGAAGAGCCCGAAGCCATACCGTGGAAAAGATAATGGAGGTGCCAAGGCGGAAGAGACTGGTTGCTGCATAAAGGAAGAGGCTGTCCGCGCTTCGCTGGCGGAGGAACTTAGTGTGGCTCCCTCGCGTATCTTTGTCAAGACGATGGAAGAGATTAGGAGCTCGTCTGCTAGCCGTTTGCTGCTCAAGGTGCTCCAGAGGTTGCTTGCAGCTGACCAAGACGGGGACAACGCGGGGTCTTTGTCGACTCGGAAACGTGTAAGAAGGAAAGAAGAAGGCAAAAGGCAACTGACAAATAATAGTTTTATTTGAGTTCCTCAGCATGAAGAAAAAAAAGCAAAAAAAAGAAAAAGTTGGGGGGGGGGGGAGAAAAGAAGCAAACAAACGCATAACATTTCTTTGCGTCTTGAAAACTTCTTTCTGCATACTTGCTGTTGAGTGTTATTATTGTTACTACCACTACGACTGCTCTCTCCCCCTTCTCCACCTTAGTTTCCCGCTCGATGTGAGTCTGCATGGACGGCTGGTATCAATTTGGGTATGATGGCTTTCCATCCGGCGAAGTTAGGCGGCGATTTTATCGTCAACGCGACGACCCGTGCGACAGTGAAGAGGAACAGGAGGTATACAATGGCAATGACAGGCCTATCTATTATTATCCAATGCATGAGAGCGAGGAGGCCTCTTCCGTGGAGGACGAGCTGGAGGAGCTGCCCTTGCCACCGACGATTCCCTTTCCCTTGCGCCTGGCGGCGTGGGATAGTTACCCCGGACGTTGTGGCAGTACGCCTGTCGTATTGAAGGCAGCTAGCGGGGCTGAAGCAAAGGGTGACGTCTACTTCTTTTTGCATGGAGGCATACTGGCGGCGACCGGGCGTGTCATCAACACCTCCGAGGTGTTGCGCGTGGAATCACGTGTGGATCGCGTCGCAGGAAATGAGGCTGTTTCTGTTGTGCCTTTAGATACCTCGCTCGCGGAGGCCATTTGCTCCACGGGCGAGGATCCATTTTCTGCTACTCCTACTTCTGATACGACTGCCGCTACTACGATGCTGGAGATTGCTCCAGGCAGTGCGACAAACCCGCCTCGACGCTTTGGACACTGCGCCGTGGCGATTCCAAATTCTAGTGCGGTTGATATGCTCCTGCCCAATTACCGTGCCAGCTGCGAGGTGCACCTAACGTTTATTATTGGGGGTGCTTTTGCTGAGCATGTTCCAAAAACATTGCACGATGCGCGCATCAGAGGCTCGGTGATGTGTGAGCCGTGGTTATGTGTGACAGTGCTGCGCGGGGGTGAGACTGCGCGTTCCTTGAATGCCTCCAGTGCGCATGCACCAGCGCCGCTGCCTTCTGTCGCCCAGTGGACGCTGCACCGTCCTCTCGCTGGGTTACCGCCATTCATTGCTACGCCGCGTGTGTTTGCCACCTTAACCCCGTGGCCTATCTTAGAGAAAGAAGCCAACGTTATCTCCTACGCGTATTTGGGCGGTAGTGTGAATGGGTGGGATCCGGTACCGTTGTTTGGGCTCTGGCTCCTTCATGTGGACACGCAGCAGTGGGTGTTTTCCACCAGTTTGCTGGAAACGTTTGGGGAGGAGCCGCCTTCCCGCTTTGGACACTCGGCGGTTATTGTTCACTCCGAGGAGCTTTATGTGTTTGGTGGCATTGGATTGCGGCGAGAGTACCTGTGCGATCTAGTCGTGCTCAACTGCAGAACGCGGGTGTGGCGCGAGGTGTTTGTGCCCTCCGCCGTCGCGATGCCTTCGCGTGCGTTTCACAGCTGTGTGCTGCTGCCGCCTCGCTCAACCTTAGTTATCCTGGGCGGTGAGGCAGCTGGCCGCCACGAGGCAAGTGTGTGGAACTACAATATCGATTGCGGCAAATGGTGCCGAATGACTTTCCCGCTGCTGGACCGCGCCATGGCGTCGCTGCAGGCAAAGGGCAACGATGCCACGACAAATCATGTGATTGCTGCCGCCAAGCTGTTGTGCGAGCGGGAGCAATCGGGCGTGGGAAGGCGAGGGGTGGCGAGCCGCACAGGTTTGTGGTGGAAGCGCGGTGAGGATGCGCAGCACGAAAACCGGGACACAGGCGCGGGTGCGCCACGGCTCGAGTCACCCCATTGGAAGGACAGTTGCACGGCGTCTTTCCCCGCCGTCGCCACCGAAGGAAGTACGCTTCCGCCGTGGAGCGCGTACTACGTTGCCGCCATGCATGGCTCTCTGTTGCAGGTGCTCTGCATGCAGGGAGGCATCCTCGTTCTGGGCGGCACAAAGTCGCCGGCCGTGACGCTCGTCAGTTGGATTCCTGCGCGGAACTACTCGTTGAAGGAGAGCGCGGCACTCTGGATCGGTCTGCACCGACCTCATCTTTTCCCCGACGCAGGTGCGCCGCGGGGGCCGGCGAAGCTTCAAGGCTGTACGGCGCGCAACGGTGGCGTGAGTCTTGTGGAGCGCTCCCTCGCGGAGTACCAGCTGGAGCAATGGCAGCAGCGTGCCCGTAAGCGGCTGCGGGAGTAGTGAAGGGCATGGTGGGCTTGGGTAAGTAGAAGCGTCACGAGCGCCTCACCGAGGCCTGGTTCTTAACCCTTTTTTTCTTGCTTGCCGTACGCGTCTTTACAACAACAACAACAACAACAGAAAAACAAAAAAGGGTTTAGTTTGTCTGCCGGCGATTTTTTTTTACCTTCACCCTCTGCACTGGAATTGCCTTAGTGAGGGAGACTGCGTGAGTGGGGAGGAGAGGGAGGAGGAAGAGCAAGAAAAGGAGATAAAACCACATCAAAGGAGAGGTAGAGTTGAGCGATGTCGTCGCTGCTTCGCTTGTGCGATTGCAAGCGCCTTAAATCCGCCCTCTACGATTGGGTAGTTGCGCCCGTGACAGACACGTGGTATCGTGAGGTGCTGCTGCAGTGTCCTATGGACGCCTCCGTACTCGGCGTTGGTGTTGGCGCCGCCGCGAGTCTTTTCGTCAATCGTGACATCATTCAAAGCAAAAGACTCCTCGTGACTGGGGTTGTTTGCGATGCGGAGGAGGCACGCAAGGCACAAGACGAGGTTATTAGGTACGAGCTGGAAAACCAGGTGGGCATCGTACACGCTAGCATTCTGGAGTACACAGCCCCGCCTGTGGCTCTGATCTACTTATCCGGCAGTTGCATGCGCACGCCAGAGCGGGTGGAGGTGATAAAGCACTGTTGCCGCATGCTGCAAAGGCCCGCCGTCAACGGGTACTCATGCACAGGAGCTGCGGAGGATGATGGTAGTGGGGTGCTGGTGTTCACACCGAGCTTTGAGAAAACAACATTGTGGGGCCTCTACGTCGCACCCTTGGCGCGACGCTTTTTGAAGCTTCTGACGACAATTGACTTCGGCGAGGCCACGTCCGAAGCGGGGTTTTTGGCGCTGCTCAAGCAGTCCGGGGTGCGGGTAGTGTCTATGCGGACGCTGCAGGACTCCTGGCTTCGCAAGCAGGTGATGGTGATGGCCAAACCAGTGAAGTGAGCCCAGTTGACAGTGCGAGCGCCGCACACACACATGCACCCACCCACATGTCTATTCTTACAACATGGGAGAGAGACGGCGGAAGAGAGAGAAGAGAAGCGAAGCGAAGAGGAGAATGAATTGGCGCGGCAAACAACAACAACAACAGCTAATACTATGTATGCTGCGTTGAACTCAAATAATAATCTCGAACGGCCCCGCGTCTTGTATCCACCAGCTTTGTTGGTGGTTGTAGTGGGGCGAGGTGAGCAGTGTTGTTGGGGCGTACATTTCTTCTGCCGCGTGGTTCTTTTTTATTCAGTTTTGCTTCCCCCCTCGCCGGTTGGGAACTATGCGGCATGTATGACGGAGCATGAACGCGTTCCCTTCCATCTTCCTCGCCCTACGTCCTTTTCCCCTGCGCACTATGGCATTTCTCTGTGTTGTTGTTTTCCAGCAGCCCTCATTCCCTCACTCTCTCTCTCTCTTTTGTTGTTGTCTCTCCTCCCTTGCCCCCACGCCCCAGAGAGGAATCAGAGTGTGACTAATGTCTAGTGTCTGCGGCGTTGGCAAGGCCCGTTGGTCCCAGGGCGACGAGGGCGAGGAGGCGGTAGAGATCCGCGTGCCGATTGTCCTGCCGCCGAGCGTGCGGCCGCGCGACCTCACGGTGGAGGTGAAGGACTCCGCCGTCCTCTGCGTGCGGCACGACGACACCTCCATCCTGCAGTGGCGCCTCTACGAGCCCGTGGCGGCGGAGGTGGAGTGGCGGGTGGAGGACGAGGGGGGGTTGATGGTCTTCGACCTGGCGAAGAAGACGCCCACGCTGTGGCCGTGCCTGCTCGACCTGCCGATGAGCCACTCCGACGACGACAGCCTGTGCGTCTGGGGCGACGAGCTCGACGCCCTCTTCCGCGCGCACCACCCGCCGATCCCGATGGACGGTGAGGAGGCCGCGGAGGCGAAGGAGCTCGACGTCGAGAACCTAGACAAGCTGCTGGAGGAGGCCGCGGAGGAGGTGGCACGGCCGGCGCCAAAGACAAACGACAAGGAGTTTATCCGTGCAGAGCTGGAGAACTACAAGGCGGAGGAGGAGGAAATTCGGAAGAAGCTGCTGGAGACGCAGACCACTCTGGAGGCCGCCGCCGCCGAAGGGGAGGCGGCGAAGCAGGCGCAAAATCAAAAGGAGATTTTGGAGGAAATGCTACGCCTGCATAACGTTATTCGTGAGAAACGTGCAAAGCCGGCAACTTTGACGAATTTTATTGAGATCACGCAGCTGGATATCTGCAAGGCCCGCATCAACGTGGGTGCGATGACGGAAGAAGAAAAGGAGGAGTACGCCTCCGATGCTGAGCGCGCCATGACAGCCCACGAACTCATGACAACGGGTTTAATGCACTTTGAACAGCAGGAGGTCCAGGCAGCCTTGCACTTTCTTCGTTTAGCAGCTATTCACCACAAACACGAGCAGAGCATCCTTCTTTTGCATGGCATCTACGCTCAGCTTCAATCGCCACGAGGGCCCTTTTTACTCCTTAGGCGTGCCTTGGATGATGAAGATTTCAGTATTGCCGCTAACCTTAAGCTTGGTGAGCAATTTGATACCGGAGCCCGGCATTTCCTTCCCATGTTTCCAGCCGCCCTTTACTTTTATCAGCGTGCGGCGAAGGCGGGCAGTGTTCACGCAATGCTGGCCATTGCGCAGCTCTATCTTCGTGGTTGCACCTCGTCCACGATGTTGTCCACGGAGCAAATGGAGCAGCTAAAAAACATTGGGAAGTACCACGCCTGGATTGAGCAGGCTATTGATCGCGGTTGTGGTTCTGCTTACTTTGTGAAGGGATGCATGTACCTGAAGGGCGAGCACGGGTGCAGCAAGTCGTACAAGATGGCAAAGGAGTTGCTGGAGAAGGCGACCTCGTCTCAACCCGACATTGCTCGCCGGGCCCCGCAGGTGTACGTGATGCTGGAGAAGCTACGCCAGGAGGAGGAGGGTGGCTCCGAGAAGCGCGTTGTCGCGTCGCCCTTAACGCTAGCCAAGTCAAGGCAGGAGGGCGCCTACACGGAGGGGGAGGAGGGCAAAGAAAACGAAACCGACGCCATTCAGGCAAGCGCCTCGCTGGATCGACTGAGGCGTCTCAGAGACAAACCTGGTGCCCCAGCCTCCAGCATGCTGCACCCAAAGAAGATGACGGGGTACTCCGGTAATTCAAAGGTCTTTTGGGAAAATACAGTGACCGTCGGTTTGGCGCTCTACGGCCTGTACACGCTGGCCTTCCCTCTGCGTGTGCTGCTCCTCCCCTCGGTGTACACGGTGCTGGAACGCCTGCTCCCGCTCGTCCCGTGGATGGGCGCCAGCTCACCACCCTTGCAGTTCTAACGCGTTGTCGGTGGATGGGGGTCGGGGGTTGGGTCCAGGGAGGCCTGCGAGCCTCTTCTCGCGGTCGTGTGCGGTTGCGTGAGTCGCGTCGCCCCTTCCATACCGTGTTTTTTTTTCGGGCTGCAGTGCTGGCGCGTTGACAACCGCCTGGCTGCGCGCGGGGAACGGGTGACGGAGGCAGCAGACAAGGAGAAAAAACAGGCGGGGGGCGGAGGAGCGGGCCCAGGCAGGAGAGAGAAGGAAACGTATGGGGTGGAAAAAAAAACCAATGACAACAAAAACACACAGAGGCATATATATATATATATATATATATGTATATAATGAGAAATTTCGAGGAAAGGGGAAAAACAAAAATGAAGGCCGAATTGCCTCAGCGTCAGCAGACACACAGGGAGGCAAGGAGGGCAGACAAAACCTACAAAAAAAATGGGCGAGGAAAGAAGACTAACATACATCCCGTAAAGAAGCTGAAGGGAGAGACGGAATAAGATCACGGCAGGAAGGACAATAGGGCGAGAACGGGGGTGAGATATGCTTGGGCGGCGAGCTGCGGGAGTTTCACATCAAAAGGGCTACCGGCAACCTGCAAGGCGGGAGTGAGTGAGTGAGAGAGAGCGGGAGTGAGGGCGGGTGTTGGGTGGCTGTAGTTTGATGCTTCTCGGTTTCTACCTTTGCTCTTGCTCCCTTGCTCTCCTTTTCCCATCGCCCTTATGTTCACTTGCGTCTGTCGCTTCCTTATTCTCGTCAAACCCCACTGGCGCGAAGAGTGCGTGCTCTGCTTCTTGTGTTTGCTGTCTTCTTACAGCCGTCGCTGGCGCCCCATACTTGCTCCTCTCTCCCTTTTCGCCTCAGCTCCGCTCACGGTGGAGGCCTCATTAAGCGGCAGCGAAGCGAAGCACACGCCTTGACGACCGGAGCGACAAAAAAGAGAGAGTGAATTTTTATTTATTTATTTTTTTTGCGTGTGTGTGTTTTGTCTGTGGGAGGTAAGTATGCGCCGGCTCCGCTTTCCGGTGGCTGGCTTTGTGCAGGCGGGGTTGCGCCACCGTGGCCTTCGCTGGGGCACCACAGCGACTGGCAGTGAGCCCCACCCCGAGGCGGAGGCTTCCGCTTCCCCCTCAGCGCCCTTGGACGGCGACGCCCATTCCGTGATGGAGCGGGCCTCGGAGGCCCGCAGGGAAATTCACGCACTGTGGACGTCCACAGAGGCGGCGGCGGACCCGCAGGAGCGCGTGCGAGGCGTGGCGTCAATCATTGCGAAGTACAACCTCGACCCCGCGACTCCGCGTGAGAAGGATGTGAGCCGTGGGCTGGGGGACGCCTTTGACCGGCTGCTGCTGCTTTGCCTTCCGTTGGGCAAAGCCGCCACAAACGGCACCGGCGACTTGGAGCTTCTCATGCACCTCGCCGGGCGAAATGGCAGGGAGTTGTCGGTGCGCACCATTCAGCACCTCTTCGCCCGTACGGACTCCTTTAGCGAGGCGCTGGCCGTTTTCTACGCCATGCGCCGCTGTCACGTGGCCATGAACATGGAGGCCTACTACGCCATGCTGTACTCGTTGCAGCGACTCGAGGAGGAGGGCTGGGCGCAGCGCTTCCGCGAGGAGTGTGAGGGGCAGGCGGGGAGGGTCTCAGAGCAGGCGATGGACTTTGTGCTGCGAGGGGTCGATAATGCACTTCTGCCAGAGAACAAGCCCTGGCTTGGCCGGGTGATGTTTGGCGACCGCGACACCCCGGCGCAGCGACGCACGGCCTCTGACTATGACGCCTTGAGCGCCATGTGGACGGAGCGCTACAGAGACAACGCCGTTTTTCCCAACCCGGACTGAGGGGAGGAAAGGAAAACACAGGCACAGCAAAGCAACAAGAAAAAGGAAGGCCACCAGAGCCAACATGACGGGGGAAGGGCGTGGAGGGCGCGGGGGCAACCTCCTATGAGAGGAGCGCGTTCACCACAGTCTAAGGATGTGTTGTATCTACTAATGTGCGACGAATGCCCTCCTCTCTCTCTCTCGCACTTTTTTTTTCTTTCTTCTTGTTACATCCCTTGCATAATGCAGGGCCGCAGAAGCCATGGCTTTTATGCTGCTGCTTCGCGCGGTTGGCTACTGCATGTATGGGGCACTCCAGCGTCGTCAGCTGCTCCGTGCCAACCCGCAGGCGGTTGTTGACCCACTGAAGAAGCACCACACACGCGTCTACGCAGGAATACGAATGGCGGATATCTTTGGCCACGTCAACAACGCCAAATATCTTGAGATATGTGAGCTCGCCCGCTGGCATTGCGCAGGTTACACCGGTCTTGTGGGGGCGCACTGGAGGACAAGGACAAGCTTCATCGTCGCCTCTGTCAGCGTGCAATACGTGCGAGAGCTTCCACCGTGTCGCAGTTACCTGGTGACCACCGAGGTGCTGGGCTTTGAGGAGGCAGGCCCTGTGGCACCCGAGAGGCCAGCGTCGGTGAGGGAGGAGGGCGGGGCGGCGAAGACGTTGCTGCCACCCGCTGGGCGCCTGGTGATGATGCACGAGATATGGAGCATGGACAAGAAAACCCTGTACGCCGGGATTTTGCTGCGAGCCGCGTTGGTGGGTGATTCCACATCGCCTTTTGCTATCCCGTCTGGAGACCGGCGACGCGGCAAACATGCCTTGCTGGATTCCAGGTCCCTTTTCGCAGTGGACAGGAGCCTGGAGGAGGTCAATCGCCAGGCTGAGTCAAACCTGAAGGGTCTCCACAAGCGACTGGGCTTCCAGCCAAGCCAGGAGGGTTTCCTGGGGGAACCATGGATTGAGGCCTCGCGGCGTCTGGAAAAGGAGTGGCGTTCAAGGCTGCGGAGTGCGAAGGAGCCCTGACTCAGCGGCTCTCACGCGGCAGCGCACACGTGCATCTTGGATGGCGCGTCTCTGAGCTGGCCTTTTGCATATGTACTTTACTCCGCTTTGCTTCTTCCCCCCCCCCATTTTTTGTTTAGTTGTTCCCACGACTTCTCGTACCCACCGTCTTGTTGGGGGTTTATTTCTTCCGTTCACTTACCGTCGGTCGGTTCAGATGAAGCGGTGCGCTGTTGCTACTATCACTAGTATTATTATAATATATATATATATATATATATTTTCTGCTTGCATCCATTCCTTTCCTGCCCACTCGTCGCTGTCTAGTGCAGGGCGTCTGGCAGGAGGAGACAGACGACGCGGCGGAGCACGAAGGAGCAGCAAAAACTCCGAGAGCCGCAAAAAAAAAAAAAAAGGAACAAAGGCCTGGGGCTGGGCCCGCGCACCCTCTTCTCCGCCCTCTCTTCTTGGCGTGTGTGCGTGTGTGCGGCGGGAGGCGTGGGTAAACATGCCTGCGTTGGCCTCGGCGGGGGACTCGTCGCTGAGTTCGCTGCAGCTTGAAAACGAGGAGCTGCGGCGGCAGCTGCGGGAGACGCGGCGCGAGTCGAGGGGTGGACCCCGTGGGGACGCGCAGCACGTTGAGCGCCTCGAGCGGCGGTGTGAACTGCTGGCCACGCGACTGGTGTCGTTGGTGCGGGACAGGCAGTTGTCGGAGTGCGCGGAGGTGCACTTTCTGCTGCGAACGCAGGAGGAGGAGCGCCGGTTTCTGCGCGACGCCCTGCAGAGACTGCTGAGGCGGCAAAAGAAGTGCACCGTCGGCGAGGATTACGGGGGCCCGCCGGACGACGAGCTTCGCTCCAGCATGCTGACCGCGCTGGTCACGAGGGTGGCTGAGGAGGCGCAGCACGCCGAGTCCCAGTTGAAGCTGGAGCAGACGGAGCGGCGGCTGCTGCTGGAGCAAACCGCAGAACTTATCGTAGACATACAGCAGGCGATCGAGAAGGCGACGCGGTGGGTGTACGACTACCACTGTGAGCCGCTGCGCACCGACCCCCTCCGGCAGTTGACGCTGTGGAAGGAGTCACACAACGCCGGCGCGAGCCAGCTACTTTCGCTGGCGGATGTCGCCGCTGCTTGTCCGCCGGATTCTCCTGATCGCACGCGAGGCGGCCGCCGTGCGGAAGGGCGCTGGCGGGGGGACTCCGACGGGTTTATAGAAGTTCACTCCACCCCCGAGTACGAGGCAGCGGGGGCGGCGACGTCGCTCTCGCGGAGCGGGGTTGACCTGCTGGAGGCGTGTGACGTGCTGCGGGCGTGCTACCGAGCGTTGGCCGGCGTCCGCACTCTGCTTGGAGAGGCCATGTCCACACTGGCGCCCTCACTCGCCTCGCGGCCGGGGAAGTTGACAAGTGTGGAGGAACTCGTGAAGGGCTTTCATCGGGATCTACAAGAAATGCTGCGGAGCAACGAGCAGTGCCGCGAGACGCTGGCGCGACGCTTGGAGGCCGAGATCGAGGCGCATAGACGCACGGTGCAAAAGTATGAGGCCCGCCTGAAGTTGGCTGAGCGAGAGTTGATAGACCTCCTCACTTCCGCAGCGTCTATGCCTCGGGGCGCGCTGGGGTCGAGTGACGCGCACGCGGTCGCCTTTTCAAAGCGCCTCGGCGACGAGGCGGAGGGGGGCGCTGGCGACGCGGGCGCCGCAACACCGCCGCCGCCGCACGCGCCGCACGCGCCAGCAAAGGCGTCCGCGTCCGCGTCCGCGGCAAGCCGGCACGCTGTCGGAGGCGGCGACACCACTCGGCGTAAGTGCACTCCGGGGGAGCTCGCGCCGCCCTCGCGGCGGAGGGGCGTGAGGGCGATGCTGGTGAGGGACAAGGGCGACCCACAAAAGCCGCGAGAGGCCCCCTGTCTTGCCATTCGCGGCAACGGTGCCGCTGCCGATGGCTCGCCGCCGCCTCTTGTTCTTTCCTTGCCGGAGGCGCAGCTGCAGCGCCGTGCGGGTTCACGGTCCCTGTCGTCGCTCGACACTCTGGACGGCAGGATGGACGATGACTCGACGGCGGAGGGGTCCGTGACGCACTCGCCCCCTCCGCCACCGTCGTCGTCGTCAAGGCGGGGGCGACCCCCGCCGACGGGTGAGGTTCGGGAGGGCAGAGCGGCGTCGTCATCGCAGCGGCAGCAGCGCTGGCAGCACAGGGCGATCTTGCTTAGTCCTTCGCCATTCTGATCTCCGCCAGGAGAAAAGCGGGCAGGCGTGGCAGTGGGGAGCTGCTTGTGGGTGCTCTGGTTGAGCGGCTATGGGCGTAGATGCACGTCCTTTTTTCTTTCCCTCTCGTCTTCCTCCTTGGTTCACCCCGCTCCTTCTACCGTGACCATACAGGCACACGCAATTTTCTTCCCATTCTGCACAGAATTCCTTTTATCGTTATTCCTTTTTTTATTCTTGTTGTTGTGGTTTAACCACCGCGTGGGTGTGTGCGCGTCATTTGCCGCGCTGGGCAGATAGGATAGCGCCGTAGTGGCTACAAACCGCGCCGCCTCTTATCGCCCTCTCCCAGATGCAGATGCGGGATCGACGTCCTCTGCTAGCGGGGGATGCCGCGAACCGAGAGAGAGCCCTTGCCAGCACTCCAAAAAAGGAGGCGCGCCCTCAGTTGCAGGAGGAGCCTCCCCAGGACGGGCCGCTCAAGACCTCGCTGACCTGGATTCTCTTCTTCCTTGTCATTCTCGGAGGTCCGCTGGGGATCATCTACTACTTCACGCCGTTCTTTGTCGTGGAGAACTTGGGCTGCAGGGTAGTGGACAGACTCTGGGGGGACGACGTGGCGCGAGCGATGGAGGCGGGGTACCAGCACTACAGGGACGCCCCACCGCGCTTTCCGTCGCTCGAGTACAACAAAACCATGCTGTGGGGCACCTACGAGCCCGGCCTCCTCTTCGCCATGAAGACACGCACCCCGAGACCGGTGTACGTTGGCCTCGCCTGGTACGACGAGGCGGGCCTCCACCCCGTGCGGCACAGGGTGGCGGACGTGCTCTCGCTGGAGCGGCGCCGGGGCGGCCGGGACGGCGTGATTTCTGACGAGAAGACGGACGACTTTGAGGCATTGTGGGCGCTCCACGACGGCGTTTATTACGGGCGCCTTTATGTGCAGGACGGCCCAGCCAAGCTGCAGGTCGAGTTTCTCAAGAGTCCCTCAGGCGACTCCTGGCACGTCCGCACGCACGGCCAACTGGACGGGGCGGAGCCCGTGGAGTTCCTCGTGTATGTCGTCAACGGCGGCGGCGACGCCCTCGAGCCGGAGCCCACGCCGGCAGACACGTCCTGGGACGCGCAGATCAAAAGCGAGTTTGAAGACGCCGAGGGGCGGCGGGAGGGCTTCTCGCTGCGGATTCACGATGACAACAACCCCGTCTTTGCGGCCACCCCCTGGCGGGTGGACGGATGGACGTCCGCCGAGGATGACTTCCTCCGCGACGTCAACTTCCGCAGCCTGCCGCCGGGTGCGCAGACGTACAAGACGGGCCCCGCCGGGGTTGAGGGCCCGCAGCCCCGCCGGGACGGGGTCGCGCCGCACAACGTGATGCTGTTTCGCAAGCGATATGCGTCCGACTTCCGGGTCGAGCTGTCCATGCGCCACGCGCTGCACCTTGGGGCGGGGGGCCAGGATGCGACCGAGCGCCGCCCCTTCACGGCGGCTTCCGAGGCCCTAACAACCTGCCAGCTGACCAACGCCTTCCGGAGCCGGGAGAAGCAGGTGCTGCTGCAGATGCGTCAAATGTTCACGCCCTGGAGAGCTGGGTCGCACCTGAGTCTCAAGCTGTTCATCAACCGGGCTCGTCGCCTGCTCAGCGGTGCGCTGGGTGCTTGGGGATTCTGGTATGGGCGATACCTCTACGTGGATCCGGGCGTTGCGGCTGCCCTGGAGGCGCAGGGAAAGGCAACAACAGTGCAGTCCGACGATCAACTACGCACAACGGCGTCTGACGTCTCCGCTTTTGGGGCGGTGGCCTCGCGACTGGGGAGTTCTTACGGTGACATGACGCTGACAGGGTACCACCTTCTTTTTCTTATGCGCTGGAACAGGGAGTGGACGAAGGAGGCCATCGCCTCCTGGCTCGTCGGCGCTCAAGACGCCAACAGCGGCTTCATTCCACATCTGGCGACGTTTACGGCCGCGGCGCGTGCGTCTGCGCCGCCATCGGCACGCTACGAAAGCCTAACTTCTGCTGCGCCTCCCACTCTTCTCCTCACACTCTCTCAGCTGCTGCGCAGCGACGAGGCCGCCGCGTCAGAGAAAGAGTTCTTTGAGCTGCTGCTGCCACCGCTGCGTCGTTGGCGGTCCTGGTTTCACGAGACGCAGAGCTCGGAGGACGGTGCATTAAGCCTGGAGGCACTCGTGGCGGCAGCGGCAGAGCATGGGGCTGTAAACAGCACACCACCAAGGTATCGATGGCGCCCACGCGATGGCGACCGCCTCCCCTCCAGTGGCATGCCAGACTACCCCAGACCGGCTTGCCCTGGTCAGCACGGACGCGAGGCACACGTGGACCTCTTTTCATGGGTTGCCCTGCTAAGCTCAATTGTGAGTGACGTCGAGCTGCGCTTGGGGCTCGCTGAGACGGTCCCCAGGCGCCTGTGGCCGGGCTGGCTGGACGCGGTGCACTGGGACGCGCGGCGCCAGCGCTACGCCGATCGCGGTGGCTGCCCTGCTGACTCCTTCTCGCCGTATGCGGGGTACGCCAACCTCTACCCCCTGCTCCTCGGCATCATCGACGACAAAGCGCGTGCGCTGCGGGTGGTTGAGCTTGCCAGCTCGGAGCTGATGACCCAGTATGGCATGATGTCCGTTTCCTT